TTTTGACTCACTGCCATTCCTGCCAAGCAAACCCTCAGTTTTGAATCCCTCTCACTCTCAATTCTGCCCATTTCTGTTCCTAGATAGGTATAATGTCGGAAAACTAATTAGAGCCAGTGGATGAGTGACCATGAAACGAATGTCTCAATCAGAGACACTTTTCAGTTTCAAAAGTGAGAGAGGATATTATAAAGCTGGTATAAACCATCTCTGTCTCAGGGAAACATAGTAGGCCTATTACCTCATCACAATTTGTCTTCAGTAATGCTTGAAATTTTCATATTAAAAAAATTTAGTGGATGCCTATTAGGCATTTCCAATGTCAGCTTTAATTTCAAACCTCTAGGAGTGAATTCCTTTATCTCATCCCAAGTTTAATTCAACTAGAATCAATTACTTTCTCCTTCCATGAGAAGACTGAGATCTCACCACCTCTTCTCTCTTCTTAGTCCTTTTCTTTGTCTGAATTAAAGTCCTTCAATTCTTACTCAAAATGCTATTTATTACTATACTCCTTCATTAGCTTTCTTTTGAGGTTGGAGCTGAGGGTTGAGGCTGGGGCCATCAGAATCTCTTGGCTTTCCTCTTCTACTGATCACAGCCTCCCAGAACGTAGAAAATATGTCTTTCCAACCCACATATCTAGTCATTATCTTAAGAATTCCCCTTTGGTTTTATATTTTCCCACCCAGGACTTGTTCATCCACCATGATAGATTCAAACAAGTCTTAGTGACTGTCACCCCCAGCCTACTTTCTACAGGTGTATTGGTTGACGGATAAAATTCTGATTTTTCCCAGCGACACTTCAGATTTAAAAAGCCCAAAGCTGAACTTGTTTTTGAACCTACAAGTTCCACTATACCAACTTTAAAAATCACTACATGTCCTTATATAGGCATAGTGGTGAAACCTTGGGTTAATTGTAAATGGCCCTCCTTTCAGTATCTCCAGGTAAAATGAGTCACCAGGTTTTGTGGAGGTGGCTCTTCTACCACATTCCTCACACCTGTTACTGTTACTCTGTCAGTTAGCTCCACATAGTACTTCTACCAGATTAATATTAAAGCAAAACTCTGATCATTTCAAGCCATTAAGCTATTCCAGAACTTTTTATGTTCCTTCTCTTGGAGGCTGTGGTACATACAGACTCCTTAGCTTTGCATTCCTGGCTTTCCTTACTCTGGCTTCAAAACAGACTCCCAGTTGTTTCCTCTCCCAATATTCCATTAGCCAGATTGGATGGCATGCTGTTTCCTAAGTGTGACCAGAATGGTCATTTTGTTCCTCCCTCTAGGGACATCTTCTGTTGGGACTCCATATTCTTAAGGCCTTTATCATAGTCTCTTCCACAAGAAATGGTTTAGACTCTCTTACCAGATATGAAATCTCCCTTCTTTAATTCCCATCAGTACTATGTTCTTATTCTTTTTATTTATTTTTTGTCTCATAAATATTATTTGTATACTGTTTTATCCTCCCGACAGAGTATTATTTTCTAAAGAAGAGGACATAGGCTTTACCTATGGTTAGAATACTAAAACACCATGCTTTCTTACACTAATCAATCATTAATTGCTTGTTAAAATTATTGTACAAATGTGACTATTTGATTAGGGTAGAAATATGTGTATAATTGTCATGT